AATGGTCATGAAAGAAAAAGGCAAGAAACGGCTAATAATGTTACTTGTTTGATTGCCAGTTATCAGTAAAATATCATCAGGTATGTAGACCATCATCTTTAGATTTAGCAAGTATTCTAGTCAATATAAGTTCCTAAACATCTATTGAACATTATTGGGCTATACAAATTATTTGCGCTGTCTTGCTTTCATTTGTGTTGCATTCTGCTAACAATATATAATTACATACTTAGAGTAATTGAATGCCCCTTCACCCTGCAACTCTGGAGTGCCTTAGAAGCAACAAAAGTATTTCAGTGATGAGGGGTACAGAAAGATCAGGGTACAGAAAGATTCTACATGCTTGGTGATGTAGAAGTCCGTATGAAGTGGACTCCATAGAATAGACTTCATTGTGGCTCTGTCAGCAACAATGCAGAGACAACTTGTAGGAGTGTAATAATTTTGGCCTGTGGATCTGTTTATGCTGTTATAGTTGTAACAACAAAAAATACGGTGTCATTCTTGATACCCTTGAAATTATCTCAGAACAATTCTTTTTCCTCTGTATGTGCTTATACTGTCCGTTGAGGGAAGCTTCAGCAAAACATCCAGTGAATTTGTTCTTGAGTGGGTACTAAAGATTTGGCACCTCACAGTTTACTGTGCACATTCATATTGAAACTGGTTTTTGCAGGAATTATCATAGGATCTGTTATCATAGGATAACTGTTTTCAGGAAATCAAGTGAATAATTCTGAAGTCTTCATTATTAGTCTTGTGGATCTGAGTCTATGTTGCAGCAAGTTGTACTGTCATCTCAGTTCATAAGTATAGTCTCAGCACAAATCAGAAGCTATAGACCTCAATTTTTTAAATCTTTTGCACTTTAATTTTGGCATTGTCTAATTTTATTTCATTACTCATTCACTCTTACTCTGTAAAATCTGGACTGTTTTGATCTCTTGAGATATTTGAAAATGGAATTTGTTTATGCTCAACTACTCACCTGATTCTTCCCCCATCGCACTCAGTTCCTGCCTGACAGAGTAAGGAGATTGCAGACTGGTCATTCATCACCATAGTTGAAAAGGCTACTAGAAAATAGTTATGGTAGAATTACGATCTGAAAGCTTAGTCTTTAGATGACTTTTTGTGCAGAAACTGTATCTGCCTTCATGAAATTTGTAAAAGTCAGGTTATACTGCATGGATATGCCATCCTAAATCTGCAATGAACCCCACTGATGCCAATAAACTTAGTTAAGGATCATATCAATATTACTGAAGGCAGAATTTGGTTGCTCTTTCCCCTTCTTTACTCGTGTTTTTACAGAACAACTGACCTCTCTTACCTATTAAACTGAAATTTAAATAATGATGGCAGGTGCTGCTGTGCTAGTGGGTATGTTGCCTTCAAGCTATAGCAGCTAACAAAGGTATGCAGGATTTCATTGTACTGCAGTCAGACTAGTTGTCATTTGATTGTTTTTGCAGTATTAGACTTGACAGAGAATTGTTTAGCTTTCTCGACTCTGAATGAGGTTATGGCCAGAAAAGTCTTTGCAGAAAGTGTCATTTTAATATTTAGATTTATTTGTCCTTGATAATTGTTTCTGCTTGGTCAATGTAGATATTTATAGATGTTCAGGTTTTGCATATGTTATTTTTAAACTGCACACACTTCATTAGGCCTCTTATGATAAGGCACCTTCCCTAGAGGGCTTTAAGTTCAGGCGTTGTGGGGACATAGCTGATAAAGCAAAAACTGGTTTGGCAAAGTGTGAGATAGAAAGTGAGAGTGGGAAAATGGTATTACAGAATACAAAAGGGGTTTGGAACAGGATTTGAAACTGAGGTCATGCATGAAAACAGTGATGGAAAGAGACTGTGAGAAATGGGCGTGATACTTGAAGGGACTATGAGAACGGATGGAGAACAAAGAAAACACCCAATGTGTACTGTGGGTAAAAGAGTCAATGGTGCTGAGAACTGTAAATCATATTGTTCTGTTGATAAGACATAACCTTATAGAGTACTGTATTCTACTAGAGATAAACCTTGATGAAAATCTTCTAACTGTGCAAAGTGTTGGAGCAGCATCTAGTTTTTCCCAAAACTGCATTGGTTAAGTTACTAAAAGTTGCTCAGGTTCTATGGTAAATGGACTTTCCTGTCCATGTCCCAGCCATTTCCTTTTCATGCTCCATGAGGCTGAGTTGCCTTGTAAAAGGATTTTTCTGGCTAAAGCATTTTTTGTGTCCTCTTGATTGAAGGCAAGTGGAGAAATAGAGTGGAAATTTCCAGTTTAGAGTCTTTACAATTTTAGACATTCTGAATTTTTTCACATCAGGTACCAGGACTGGCTGCTAAGATTTGTAAAGATCATTCTTTAGCGCACAGTTTGCAATACTTCTCATGCTTAATTTTCACGCTGAGTTTGTGCAATATCAGCTCCAGAGGACAGCTTTCCCAGAAGATCATTTAACCACTTTACAAAGTGTTGTTTTTCTTTTTCATTTTTTCCTCAGGCTTTTATTTATAACATATGCTTCAAAGTATGATACCAGGCATCATAATATAATTCTAATTTATGCAGAAAACATTTCTTACCAGCTTTCTCTGTTCCTTTGGTAATAATACCCAGTTGGTGTAGATTTCTTCTATTTGCTTCATTTTTCTTTCTCATCTGTTTTGTGCAAAAATGTTTTATTATCTTGATAAAGGAGGAAAATACGGCATTGTGCCTGGCAGTTGTATTTTCTAAGTCATTAATTCCAATAACCACAATAAGAAGTGTCATGTACAGAGTTTCAGGTCTACAAGAGTGAGGCTTTTGAACTCCAATTTCTGCCTTTCATGGTGGGAAATCATGCTTTTTAGCTGTAGACTATCCAAGTTTCAAAGTTTTTTTATTTGGTTTTCTTTTTCTCCCAGAAGAGTCTTTCAATCAGTTCTAATCATAGTCAACCAATCTTCCTGTCCATCCATGCATCTTGCCTGAGTAGTGCCATTTGCTGCCTTTCTTGTGCCCCTGAAGGGGACACCTTTCAGGGGCACCTTTTGTTATAAACCCTTTCCTTCCCTGAAATATTTTGTCAGATTTTTCCTTTCTATTTTACAGAAAGTCAAATCAAATTTGAATTTGTGTTCAAATGTAATTTGAACATATAAAACAAGAAAATCTATTAAGCTTTCTTGGGCACAAAGACAAAATTTTATGCCAGACTACAGCTGCAGTAACCCATAATCTCAATCATTTCAAGATTATACTGGGTCTTAATTAGTGTCACAGTTAATCAGTGGGTTTATTCATTACTAAGTAAGTAGTGGAATATAACACTAAGCTTACCCAGAATGAGTGTAGAAACTCTCCAAATTGTAGCTAAAAGCAAACAAACAAACAAAAAAAAAGTGTTAAAGTGGTACCTCTACTTCCCATTCAAATTTAAATTATTTTGGAAGACATTTTCAGATGTATGCCACTTGGTTGTCAGGAAAAACAGGAGTGTGCAGCCCGGATAATTCCTGGTTTGGGATCACCAGCAAGAGATAATACATCAGGGTAGATTTGGAGGATCAGTTTCTGACAGAAAGCTTGAGAAACATTTCATTAAAGATATTTGATAATTTATTGTGTTTCGTAGCCAAAAAAATTCAAGTCTGTTGCTTTGTGGAGTGAAAATAGTCACAGCTTTAGAAAAAGCCAGAGAGCTTGTGTCACCTGAGTGTCTTTTGAAACAGTTTGTGAAACCTGCAGCAGTTCCTGAGATTGTAGACTTGGGCATGGCAGACTGGCTGTGTAAGCACAAATCATTAATTTCTGCTCAAAGAAGTAACTTCTGTTAATTACTTTAACAAAGAACTTGTATCATTTTATTGTGATGCACAGTTCTGTATTTCAGCTAACTCCTCTAGGGAACAATTCCATGTTCAGCACTGCAGTAATATGGGAAACACTGCGTTGCCATTCCACCAGCACATGAGTATCTTTTCTTCCTCAAGTCGTCAGTTAAAAACCAGCAGTGACATTGAACCTGGTGCCTGCTGTGCTTTGTCTTCCAACGTGCACACAGTCAGAGTTAAAAGCTGCACAGTGCGATGCTGAATACAGGCAGGATGGGACTGAAACCTGTATGTCCATATTTACCCCTTTCTGTGAGTATGGCTGCCTTATTAACCCAGACCAGAACGTGATCTTCACTACAGCCAATACTCCTCAACTTTGGCAAGCAGCATGTTGTGGTCCAACTCTGAGTACCAACATGACACTGCTTACCCTCACTTAAATAGATTGCAGTTAAGAGCTGGCTCACTTCCAAGTCCCTGTAAGTCTTGTCCAAAATGTCTGATCCTCAAGCAATTGATAGCGTAGGTCCAATGTGCTCACAGGTCTTGGATTCCCTCTTCTTTTCATGCCTTTAGTTTTTTTCAGACTTACAGAGGTCTTTATTTCATGCACACACTGTATAGCAGATTCCACTGTTGCTTAAACCGGACTTACATAATGTGTTAAAATAACGGTCATAGTTAGCTTTCATTTAATGGGAAAAATGAATGCAGCAGTAATGTTAATAGTTGGACAACATTAACACTTTTCCTACATTTAGAAGAAATCCACAGAGCTCAACAAGAGTGTGAAATGGAACTTACTCAGGGCATCTGATGGAGAGGCTTCCCTGTTTGACCCAGGCAGAGGCTGCCATACTGGAGGCTGACTGCAAACCAACTTTTTAAATGCTGCTGTTTCCACTGCCAGGTCTCTCCATCTGCTACAGCTTTTCAGGCTTCTTTTGTGCTTCCTTATCAGACTGAGTCCTTTGTTTCAAATGAATGGTTATTCCCAGAGGCCATCATAATCCTTGGCTCCACAAACGGCATACACTTAGTTGCAAGTACCCATGTACCACTGAGCATACAGCCAGCTAAGATTCACCGATCCAGCTGTGCCACGGGACTTTTTTAGCTCTTGTACAACAGCACAGAAATGCCATCCCATGTTTCATGCTTCTCTCTTTGCAGGCATACCAGGCAGTGACTATATCAATGCTAACTACATAGATGGATACAGAAAGCAGAATGCTTATATAGCAACGCAAGGGGCATTACCAGAAACCTTTGGTGACTTCTGGAGAATGATGTGGGAGCAGCGGGGTGCAACAGTCGTCATGATGACAAAACTAGAGGAGAGGTCCAGGGTAAGGAAAGCATATACAATGTTAATAATATTGTGCTTGAGTAATCACTTAAATAAGATTTTTGCTTCTTACACGTATATTTGTCTGCCTCTTGTATATGCACTGATTTTTTTGATGTTGCCACAAGTTAAAAGTGTCTATTCTGTGCAAATCACTTCCAGAGAAAACGTTAATTCCACTGTAAAAATACCAAGTCATGCCATTTATTTTGTAGAGCTTTCTATACTCTGAAAAACTTGAAATTTTTTGACCTACAGTGTTGGTTTTTTGTTAGGTTTTCTTCCTTCTTCAGTCATATTGGAAGTATTAGGAGGTGATTGAAAATGTTACTTTTCTGCAGTATCAAGCGTACAATTGTATCATCCTGTCATGAATAAGCTAATATATGTCAACAGCATTCAATTTTCATTTTTATGTGGCATAGATTAAACATTATTTAAGATCAGTGGGGGCTTGGATTTACTTGAGAAACATAAGAATGTTTTTCTTAGCACATGCTGCGTGCTAGAAAAGCTCCACAACACGATGGTGTTCGTTGATTCTCATGATGGATTTTTTGGAAGGGGATGGGCACTGAAAGGAAAAATAAATAAGAAGAGAAAGATGGTGAGAAAAAGAAAAGGGAGAAACCCTTCTCAGTGACCAATCAGAAAGAGGAGTGAGTGTCCAGCCCTTGGCACCCTCTCCACTAGAGCAGGTAGTTCCCCCATCATACTTTTCCCACAATAACACTGTGTTTTATGTCAAGACATACTCCTCATGGATTGTTCCTGCTTACGATGGTGTTACTGTTGCTGGGCGCACGCGTTGACTGGGAAGGTGCTACATGGCTGGTTCATTCCTGAGCCTTCTCTAAACTCATTAATGAGTGCTGTAGTGTAAACCAGAAGCTACAACCAGATGTAGAAATCAGGGAAGGGGAGAAAGAAGGGATGATTCTAACATCAGTGGCCATTGCTTCTCTTCGGAACCTGCCATGACAACAGTATCAGGGTCCGCAAGTATAAGTCCAGAAGATGAATAACAAACAAGAGTGTCACAGGAAAAATACTGCCACGGGTGTTCTGGTGTACGCTGGCCTGGGAGCTTGTGTGAAAAAGGTAGGAAGCTGCAAATGGGAGGCAGGCTGCAGGATTGCAGGTGAAAAGCTCTTAGCTGTACAAAAAGCTAAGATACCTAAGGTGCTGTGCAACATGTGTTAAAAAATTCCATAAATGCAGAGGATCAAGAAGAATTGAGAAAGAGAACTAGGGAGAAATAGAAAGAGAGTAGGGAGGAGGAGAGGAGGTTTATCATCCAGAAAAGCTTTTAAATCAGTTAAAAATATCTTACGGAGGTAACTGGATAATAAATGATATTTCAATAACTCATGGATGAGCTCTATTTCAAAATGAAAATGCTTTTGCATGTGTAAGCTTGGAACAGGGGGGAATGCAACGTAAAGCCTGATGCTGTATTATGTTGGCATTGATGGTTTTTTCACATGCTTGGATACATATAATTACAATGATTACTTAACTTCTTGAACCTCTTAGCATCAGTCATTCCTTTCTGGAGGCTTACCAAAGTACATATATATATTTATTCTTTTATCATTTCATCACTTCTTAAAAATTGAGTAGGTTTTTTGCAGCTCAAGCATTGTATAGCATTCTAGTTATAGAATCACTTTCGGCTTGTAAATTCAACCTACATTGACACTATTGCCTGTATATACCTGATGGCAATTAATACGCAGCAGAGGGTAATTTCATCAGAAATTTTCATTTTATCTTAAGTCTACAGGCCTTGTCTAGTCTAGGCACTGACAGTTATTTGGTATTAAGCAAATGAAATTTTGCCTATTTCTTCACTAATTACTTACATAATAGGTTGCTGCTTAATAGCATCAGTGCTATGAAAAAATCTGATCCTAATAAGCAGCCCATTGCAGAAGGTGTACTTAAATACTTGAGAGTTTATCTTAATACTGCAGGCCACAGACAGCCACTGTCTAGAACTATGTTTTGATGTAACTAAATGAAATTCTACTCATTCTCTCCAATAATTGCTTAGCAGAGTTTTAAGCTAACTCTAGCCTTTGCTGTCTGCGCCCTAAAAAAACACTGATCAGAATAGTAATCACCTCCAGAAGTGATTAGCAGTCAGCAGCAATGCGTTCCCTGAGTGTAATGAGAGACCAAAAAATCTAGTCACTGGATTGTCTGTCTATTCAATGCCTACGTTTGCGTATTTTTTGTGCATAATTTAGCTCATTCTGTGTTCATAGGTCAAGTGAGTTTTATGCACTCAATGCAAACCACTGGAGACCAGCTATTCGGTACTTAATTCAGCTCCAATGTTAAGAGTCTGCAACTCTGTGAATATGGCGTAACAGTTACCTCTTTTAAGACAGTAGCTACATGTAATGTAATTACTGGTATTGATGGTGAGGCAGCAGTGGGAATCCCTGTGTGGGAAAAGAATATGATGACAACATTTTGTTGTTATTTTTGCTCATGCTATCATTTTTATATAACATCGTTATAGCAGGAGACCAAGTGAAATTTCAAACATGAAATACCAACACTGTTACATACCATTAGAGATGAAGATCTTCACTAATTTTGTTTCTCTTTTTCCTTTGATTCCTTTTTGATTGCTTTTGTGTCTTGGCAGCCTGATCATTATTCCTTCTGGAAGGCAAGATCATTTCTCTCTGGGACTTCATCTACTTTCCATCTCCATGTCGTCATTTCTGTTTAGCTTGCTTTTTTCATTATGTAGTCCTGCAGCTTGTTATCAGCCTTTTTAACCTGGACTGCATAGATAAAGACAGGGATTTTAATTGCATCTGCAGAAACAAAGTTGGTTCATTAGCATGTGTTAGATGTCTCAGTAACTTCAGCTTTGAGAATGTACATATTTTACAGCTGAGTACATCAAATGAAGATGTTACAGTGAATTCATTATTCATTTGTTTGCCTAAAAGGAAGCTGCAGGAAAGAGAAGCTCTTTCACTTATAACCTTTCACACTTTGTTAGTTTTGAAATGTCATCACCTGAATATCACTTGACCTAAACCAGACAGAGAAACTCAGTCCCATCATTCAGCTACCATGCACATAATTTATATCAAAAAGGATTATACACACTGGCACTGCATGGAATAGTGTTGATAGCATATTTTTCACATACATGATTTTAATCTAAATGAAATAAAAGAACAATATTGAAAGTTGTAAATTAGAGGTTAAAAAAGAAGTTGTGTGTTACACTAAGGAAGGCTTTAAAACATGTAAAGCATTAATGTGTGATGCTCTTCTTTCCCATTCCTTTGTCTTACTCTCTGCCCCTAGCAGTGCAGATTTGCTTTTTATTTTTAGATCCTCTGAATTAATTCAGTGATCTGAGAACTCATGTGCTGTAGTGAATTACGTGAATAATCAGTTGAAGATAGAGAATCTCACTTTATAGCAAAAGATAATATTGCCTCAAACAAGAAACATTTAGTAGTGCTTCTTGTTTCAGGGTAGGATACTGTTGTGGATTGTCTACTTGAAAGAGAATTCAATGTTTTTCTTCCTTGCTATATAACTCCTTATTTTGAATACATGTACTACGTTGTTTTGGAACTGATAGAAAATACTTACCTTCTTGCTTAACCTCGTGGGCAATATTTTCTATGTTGGGACCACATGGCCTAGAATTAGAATCTTCTGTCAAAACCACCAATCAGTCAGGTCAAAGCTAAAAGACAATACAATGGCCCTAGCGATTATTCAAATATGAGCCAGATTCTGAACTTCTATAAGGCTTTAATTTTCATGTTGGTACTACCAGCTTCATTCAAATTTGCTAATGACTAAGTGAATACATGAGGAAACTACATTTAGCATTCTGTTAGCCTCATCTATTTGGCTGTAAGGAAGTGGATATTATCATTAATATAGCCAAGAATGTATTAAAATGTAAGCATAGTATAATCATCTCCGTTTGTCAAAGTTTAACATCTTGAATCCTGAGTTTTCACTGGGAAGGCGGAGGTAGAAACAAACCCAGTAGAGAAGACTTGTATCCTGTCTCACCAATTTTGTTCACCAATATTGAAATGAGTAGCACTATTTGTGTGAGTCCTGTATTTATTCCATAGGAATGTCTAAGGATTGTTAAAAATCCCTGGACTTAGCTTCTCTCAACTGGTCACTGGTACCCAAGACTCAAGAGAGCCTGCATTATCCCAAGAAAAGCCAAGCAGACTTTTCCTGAGGTTACTGCAATGCTAAATATGTACTTCTGTTCCAAGTGTCATGCAACAGGTCTAAATCTCATCAAATCAGAACACTCCATCTGAGTCTTTCAATTCCTTTTTTATACATTTGTAGACTATCCCATGTGTTAGAAAAATGGAGATTGGGTGTTAGTCAATGAAGATGTGTGTGTTGAAGGTGGAATTAGAGTAAAATCATTTTCCAGGTTGGTTTGGTGGGTTTGGGTATTTGGGGTTTTGATTTGGTTTGGGGTTTTCTTTGGAGGAGTGGAACATATTAAATTAAATTCGGGAAGTTTTTTTCAGATTCAAGTAGTTCAAAAAACCAAAACCATTTGAATATGCACGGTGGAAAGTTTAATTTTACCTTAGGACTCTAGTAAAATAGCATTGAAACAAACTTGGCCACCCAAAGATTTCTAAGTCGTGCTATAAGCACATAAAACTTAAAGGCAGTATGGGGAAGAACCCTGAATTCTTCTATTCCAAATACACAAATTGCTAACATTTTTAATGAATCTTCATTTGTTGATGGCAGAGTAGGCACTGATATCTAATGTAGCTGATATCATAGCTAAGACAAAGCAATAGTACATGCATGGCAGTAAGTAATAAGCAAAGAAAACTAAGGACATTATTTTCTGGTCTGTATGAAATGCATGAAGATCTTTCAGACAGATAACAGGCTGTGAGGCAGAGTTTTATGTGGTTGTGATTAATGTATTTTTACATTTCTTGTGCAGAGCTTCAG